ATAAAATAACCGCTGTTCGCGTAAAGTATGGTATGAGGAATAAATATTAAAGTACATTAATATAGAGAATATTTAGCTCAATATTCTCTCTAATAAATCCATGGGTATTTATAGGAGTATATTTATTTGCGATCAATTGTTTTCCCAGTGAAATATGATCAATGTTTACATAAAATTGTATACTGTGCTCTTGCTATTTAGCTGGGTGAAAACTTTGTATTCTGTTTTAGACCCTCTTTTAAAACTTGTAGCATGTTATGACAGATAAGGCATACAAGTAAGGCCCAATATATTTCTAAAGTCAGTTGTATCACTTGTGCCCTAATATGTGCAGTCAAATTTAAATTTACATCATTTATCTGACAAACACCTGGCCTTGATGTTTGTGTATATGAGGAGTCAAACGGCCAAGTCAAATTTGCAGCATTTTCGCTTAAACTTCTTTGCTTCATATTTTCTTCTTAAGCCCCATTTACACGAGCAAATTTTATTTGACAAATTTAATATGACAAATGCATTTGATCAAAAGCTAGCATGCTAGCTTTTGTTCAAATGCATTTGTCACAAATGTATCATCTACACGAGCAAAATATCTTTGACATATGAAATTTGTCAAATAAAATTTGCTCGTGTAAACGGGGCTTTATATCAAAAGAATATCATACATACAGTTTTAAAATAGCAAGTTTATTTACTCTCTATTGCCTTATATAGCTTATTTTTTCCTTAACATATGAATGCCATGCAAGCTGAGACTCTCTATTAAAAACATATGTGCACAAAGAAATAAGTACATTTCAAAATATTATAATATATATATAATCCCCCGAGTACTGTAGGAAATAGACAATACTATTGATACTCATGTGCACACTATATAATACAGGTATATTTTCTTACTGTTATTTTCTATACACATGACGTGTCGTGTTATCAAGCCATTCCAATTATGATTAAAAATTTATGACAGTTTACAATAGACTCGCTGTTGGCTGCTAGGAAAATTTTCTTTGCTTGTCCTTGAGTATATTACAAATCCTTTCCTAGTAATTCTTTGCGGTTTTCCCAATGTGAAACTGAAAGACTGCAGTATGTAGAACTTGCATATAGCGTATTATTTTACATATAATAACATTACATATAAAAGGCATCTCTTTTGCAACACAAGCTCTTGCAATTCGTTAAAATTACATGCATTTGTTAAAATACACACACTCTGAACTTTATCGAATTGATATCAGCAACTTGTCAACCCCCCACCTTTGTGTAAAAATTTTGTTATCTCCCAAAATCTGGGAGACATGTCAGCACCCTGGGCCAGGGTCTTTCCTCCAGCGAAGCATGTAGTGGAAAGAGCCTGGGTACGAGGTTCAACCTGCACATCCTGTAACACCCTGATTTCATGGCTTCCAAATATGGTCAGATACTTCTGAGCACACCTATGACATAAAGCTGTACTAACGAGTTGTCCAAGAAAGAATTAGTGAAGGCAGTTCTTGATGTTGAAGATTAGGGACTTCACAGTTTACAATCTAGCAGTGCTACACTGCACCTGCTCTGGGTATTCCAGACCACCTGCTACTGAGGCAAGGAGGGTGGCATACTGCAAAGGCAAAGAACAATTACATTGTTGAGTAAAAAAACTCTTTACCTCATATTACAAAAACAATGCAGAAGGCATAAGCTGTATAAATTAACTCTATGTGTTGTATGGTTGCAGCTCCTACCAGTGTGTGAGAAGTGTTCTACTAGCAATACTAGCCCAATCCTATGCCAAATGAGCTACGCGATCAGGTCGGTTCGAGTATGTGATATTTTGGAACTGAGTCTAGTTCCTTCGATATCAATGCAATCTAGTAATCATGATTTTCTGTGTTGGTGTTATGTACTAGGGTGTATATGATGTTTGTGATGTTATTCTTAGTGTATATCCACACTGGGCAAGCTTGAAAAATATGCCTGGCCATGGTGGGGAATCAAACCTACGACCTTTGGAATACTAGCCCAATGCTCTGCCAACTGAGCCAACCAACCTGACCGCGTAGCTCAGTATGTGATATCGTAGGCATAAGACAAGGTCTCTTTTTCCAACTGCATGGCATAATACCTAGCAAGTCTATGCATCTGTATGGATTTTCTAGTGTGGTTATTCAAAGAACCGTACAGTTGCATAATGACCGCATATTTGATAAAAACATTTTTTATGGTAAAATATATTGCAACTAAGACTGTTCTAAAAGTTTTTTTCCCTTCATCGATAAAAGGCTGTGTTTACATCCATTTGTAGCTACGCTAACATGGGACGCTAATTAAAAAGCGATTACTTCCCCGCCAACTTGTGTGTAAAATGGCTCCTCACTGCGCAATAAAATTGATTTTAACAACATCGATGGAATGGACACTTCCTACATGTTTTGCCGACAGGAGGAGCCTGTAAGAGGGATGGGGGGGGGGGACTGTCCCCCCCAGTCTATATGTTAAAAGAGGCCCTGGAAAAAAATAGATGGGTAAAAAAGAAAAAAAAATGCTCACCTGCCCCAATTCTATTCCAAACAAATGATGAAAAACAGAAATATTATTTTAATAGGCCAAAGCATAATTTAAACTGTTGTGTTGCCATGGCAATTGGCAACACTGACGTAAAAACACGAGCTTGTGTCCAGTGTTGATCAATTACTAATACTTCATGTTAAATCAATGTTTGGAAAATAATAAAATATGGCTGGGCAAGGGGTTACTGCATGCGTGTATTTCTAGTTAGTATAAGGACCACAGCTAATGTTGACGAGTTAAACCAATCTTGTGTAGACAGAGAAAAGTAAAAATCAGGGCGCATTGCCGATTAATGGGTTAAGTTAACAATCAATACTAGTATTCACTTGTCATGAAATTTATGTGAAAGGAAGTTCGAAGTTGGTCTTTCAGTATAATTTCATTACAAAATGAATTCTCAGATTGACCGTTCCCCCACATAGCTTGCAAATGTCCTCTCCCTTGGGTTTCTCTGATGAAATATACATCTGACATTTTGCACTAGGGCAGCTATATTTTTAATTGGATGATTAAGATTCTTGAAATATTGCCTGAATTTGCTCATTTCTGAAATTGGAAGACTCAACATTGGGCAGTGAAGCTGTAGTAGATCCTCTGCAGCAACCATAGACAATTTATACCTCACAATATATGCCATAAGAAGAAGAAGACCCTCTCCCACCGCTATTTTTGCCTGGGTTTTACTGTTCAATGGAAGGTACTTCCACCAACATTCATTTCTTCACTTGAATTAGGATGTGAGTAGTCTTGACAGGTTCATCACAGATTAGGGAACACTTTCATCATGTGCAGAACAAGAGACAGATGTTTCCAAGCTATCTAAAAGCACAAATTATTATAATTGTATGCTGTCGTTTTTATACAGTTATCATAGATAAATTTCTATTTGTCATACACAAAAAGTCCTCCTTTAATAGATTGAAAATTATAAACTATTAAAGTGCTTATGAAACGAAATGAATGATGAAGAATGATGTTTACAGTTTCTTCATATCTCAATCTCAAGTTATCACACTTTCTATACTTATAACACCCTGATTTCATGGCTTCCTAGCCCACGTGCAGGACCAAGAGAACTGATAGTGGGCATGCAAGCAAGGCCCGGTATTTTGTAAAACGCCCCTTTTTATAACACGCCCCATTAGCACGTCAATTGTCAAAAAAGAACCAATGACAGCAACCGAAAAAGTAAACAAACTCACATTAAAATGATGCGGGGTTTTCTCTGCATATTCAGAATATAAACAATGTGTATATGGCTGCGTTAACTCCGAAAAAGCAAGCAAGCCAGCCAGCTTCGAGTAATTGCCGAATTTGCAAGTGCTTGTTTTCAATTAAATTTGGAACTGGTAAATTAGGAAAAATTTCAACAGAAAACCTATTTCAAATTTCAAATCGCGAGGGAAGTCATGGGACCACATTAGCATCAATGTGTGCTTCTGTCGGCATTATAATAAATAAATTGCCTCACTTATCGGATCGTGTATGCAATTCTTGTGGGCGGAAAGTACGCAATTTATTTCAGTTGTTTAACTTGGTGAAGAACTCTACAAATGAATATGTTCTGGGTAAGGATCGTTTCAAACGGCAAATACCTTCTTCTGTTTCGCCCTCTCAGAGAAGCCCTGAGAATCGTAAAGTTTTGCGATCAGGTTTACATGCAAGTGATTCAAGTGTCTCTAGATCTTCACCGCAGAAAGCGCTGTTTTCGTCAGTACAAAAGCAACCGATTCAACATCAACCGAAAGATCGTTTTCTTCAGGAACATATGAACATATCTGATTTATTTGAAAGTAATGAAACTCAAGTGAAGGTTACTATTGCTTACGCCAGTGGTAATGTTACTATTCCAGCACTTGACGACAAGCAATCCCAAATGCTAATAAAGAATATTGCATTAAAAAACTGGAAGGCAGCTGCAAATGGATTTTTTGCGCACAAATCGTTGAAAGAATTGCCTGCAGCATTACGACATGCTGTATCATGAGAGTTTGTAGGGTACAGTCGATCAGACTCTATTCTAAAAGGCACGAAGCCAGACGAGCTAGCTGGGTTTTCATCAAAGCATCTTGTGGAAGAAATAAGAATTTTCTGCCCTCTTTGGAATGCAAGTGTCTATGGAGCATGTGGATCTCGACCTACGATTGTTATTGCTCTTTGCTGCTCGGTTGCTGCTCGTGCAAGAAATTCTACAATGTCAGCTTTGGCTTATAGAGTTTCTGCAGTGTTGTCCCATGCGGGTGTCGGCTATGATGACATGAGACGTTTAAACCGAATGGGCATTAGCATGTCTCCAGACAGGATGATAAACCTTCAACGCCAAATGGGAGAGACTTACAACTCCAAGATTCAAGTATTGGAAAAAAACCATCGAAACGAACAGGTCGACGGTCAAATTTCTTCAAGAAGTGAAAGGAAAGCAGGTTAAAGATTGCAACTCAGACGATATGGACATTGACACACAAATAGACTTGACGGGCAATGTTGTAAACACCTACTCGTCGTATACACACGAAGTACTGCAACAGGCTACTAAGCTGATTTCGAAAATTCAAGTCTCGCCGAACGAAACAGGTGTAACAGATGAAAATTTGAAGGACGCAATCAATCATCTGGAATCTGAGAAACTTCCTTTGTACAAGTAAGCAAAATTTTTATTAATGTATTCTGTACTCAGGCTAGCTTTTACATTTCATTTGTCATTATAGCCTTTCTCACGAATGTCAAATTCACAATTTTTGGAGCGCACTTTTTTTTTAAAACGACGTGAAAAATATAAGCGATGTGAAAACATTTTTTTAAATCTTTAACTGTAAATTAACTTATAATGATTAAACTATATTCATAATTAGTTATAGAATCCTTTATTTACTGCGCACCTAAAATAAGAACAAATCGTTTACACAACCAATTTTTATGTGACAATTTTTCATATTTTTATATGACCAATTTTTTTTGGTCGTGTAGATGAGACAACAAATAATTGTTGATTGTTGTTTAAAAAATATCTATGAACAACGGTATCTCGCGCAATAAAACTACAATTATATTTTTACAAATATGGGGGGAGAAAAAAAATGACATTTTATGTGACAAGTAATCTACACGAACAATTTTTCGTATGTGACAACTTTTATTTGTCACATAAAAGCTAACACGCTAGTTTTTCAGCAACTGTATTTGCCACACAAAAATTGCCCAATTTTCCTCGTCTACACGAGCAAATAAAAATTGTCACATAAAAATTGTCACATAAAAATTGGTCGTGTAAACAGGGCTTAGATTAATAAACACCTCAAAGACAAAGAATAAATTTTTTCAACACCCTTTTTGAAAGGATGTCAGTATAAAAAATAGCTAAAATAAAATAATTTCTTCTCGATTATCCGATACTGCATGTGAATAACCTCCCAAAAACTTTTTTGTAGGATTGTTGGTGACAATGTCGACCTAGAAGTTCATGCTAGAATTCAAACCAAAGATCATGGGAATAAATCTCTTCACTGGACACATCAATTCGCAGAACGAGCTCGCATTTTCTCATCGATTCCTACAAAGCAAACCATCAAAAAAGGTTAAAAGATGTCCAGCTGGTTGAATTACTGCCATCTGCCGACATGTTGAACCCACTAAAGTTAACTTGGGGGATCCTCATCAGCAGAGTGCTATGCAAGTATGTCAAAGCGTTGAGATGTTTTAAAGATGTAGTGATCCATCATATTCCCCGCAAATATTTTGAGAAAATGGCAAAGAAATCTACGTCAGTAAATATTTTTACTATATTTTGAAACGTAAATGTCGGTATAAAATATTAGTTATAAAATACATATACAATTATACTCTCCCATTTTCCTAGTGAAGTGCCTCACCCCTCTAGCCCTCCTACAGAATAGTAAATAGTAAGCTTCTTTGGTCTGCATGCAAAATAGCCAAATCCTTCAGATAGATTTTTACTCATATGTTCATTGTTTGATGGCATTTTAGTGCTGCTTGGATTTGTACTTCTTAAACCCAAACATTGCTGGAGTGATTGCACAGATTCTAAAAAGTAACCAAGACAAATATGTCCCGACTTCCACAGTCGATGGTAAAGATAGTGTGTTATTGCGTGTTGCACAGCATGGTGACCAGTTATTTGAAGAGAGGGGACGGAATGTTCAGTGGGCTTTTGGTGATGGTGCAAACCAGTATGACAGACTAGAAGGCTTAAGGACCGAATTTGCTGATTGGCATGCAAAATTTACATTTTACAAGGTGAATATACTTTGTATAATTCAATATACTCATATTTTTGTAGATACAAAAATAGAGCACCCCTAGCCTGCATCTGTTAACAAACTGGTTAGACGGTGTTTATATGAGCCCCACATAAAGGGCTGTGCCCTAGCAGTAAGGCTGATTTTCACCACTGCCTAAGGGCTGATTTCCTATTACAAGTTGCACTTAATGGTTTTGTGCAACTGATTATTTTTATTATGGCGACCAACAGACATTTGAATATTAATTTAGAACTACATTAAAGCTTTAAAAAAATTAATTTGAAGTCAATTTAATGGCATTTTTACTCAGCCCTACTGGAAAGTTTCCATCCATAATATGCAAGATCTCACCCAGTAGGGCTTCTTGGTGGGCCTGCACATGGGTTAAGTAGGACTGGCCAGCTGGCCCTCCTGTCATATAAACACAAACAGTGTATTAGCAAGTGTGATCTCACATAGGAATGCCAGCCCTTTATGTAGGAATCATATACATGTAAACAGTACCTTAGAAACCAACTTGCCCCATCCTGAACATTCTAGACTATGTTTTGCAGCTTGTCAGCTTGTTCAGGAGTGGGCTGCCTGTAAACTAAAGTCATTTATAAGATACTGTCCATTTGTTTACAGTCTGATATATTCGTTAACACACAATCAGCTGCTGAGAGGTAGGAACAAGTGCCGCAAGCATAAACAGAACTGGAAAGACAAATGATTACAAGGATTTCCATGAAAGGGAAATGGAGGCACACATATGTGCAGCATTTATGGAGATGTTATCAATGAGTACACTTGAAGGTATGATAATCAATTTATATACTTGTATGTTCAAATTTTAAGCAGATGTATCCTAATCCTGTTTTACAAAATATGTTCACTTTTAAAAGTTGGAATATTGATATTTGTAAGACATTAATGGTTTATAATTTCATTTTGATTGTTGATTCAACACATTAAAGCTGATAATTCGCCTGTAACAAGTGAAATTGTCTTGCATATAGACAAATAAGGCATATAATATAAGTGCATTTGGACACATTGCATATCACATAATTATCTCACATGTGAAATCTATATCTATTGTATCTTAAATATTTAGATTCTAAACCCAGTATGCCAAATAAAGATGTACCAAAAACTATCAGACAGAAATGGTTGTTGGATATTTGCAAAGGCATTGTGGACAAGTATGTCTTTGGAGTACCAGATGTGAATACACTTGTTGAAGAAACTCAAAATTTACAAAATGCCATGACAGCTGAATTTGTGTGCAGAGCACCAACATGTAATGCAAAGTACATACATCACTCAGGCAGAGTAAGGTACAGTATAGTACATATCTCCAATCAGGGACGTCAGAATGGCTGCAAAAGTGGGGGAGGGGGCACACTTTGCACCTGTCAAAGGCACATGACAGCAGGTGGCATTCTAGGGGGGTCTGGGGCATGCCTCTTGGAAAAATTTTAAAATTATAGTCTCTGAAGTGCCATTTCCTGCACTTTATAAGGAGATTTACAGAGTTCTGAAGGTATCAAAATGTCATAAAATACTCAAATTGTTTTGTCTACATGCATAACTGAAATAATATCATTTAACTTTGTGGTTTATTACTGATCATTGTTAAAAAGTTAGGGGGGGGGGGCATAAAGACATTTAGGCCCCTCAACTAAAAAAGTGGAGATGCCCCCCCCCCCAACTTCTGATGCCCCTGGCTCCAATACAATGAAGGAAATGTATAAAAATTAGTATGGGTTCACTCTGTCTAATGTCATGGATACTTAGAAGTACTCTATTCATGTTTTCAGGCAGAGATAAAGAATCATGGTCACCATTTTAACAAGATAGATGGTGAGCAAGATGAATATGGATATTACTACTGCCAACATGGTTGTGGCT